TTTATTTAAAGAAATGGCGTGTCGTCTATTTCCGCTGTAGCAAACGTAGTACATAGGGCGACATCTAGATGTCATCTACCTCGCCCTATTCACTACAGATGTCGCCCTATGCACTATGCTTTTTTATAGGAACTTTTCAAAGCAAAGGTTTTATGGTGTCGGACACACAACATTGAAAGTTTCTGGATCCACAACATTGAAAGTTTCTGGACACACAACATTGCAAGTTGATAAAAGCGTTGTAAAAAGTACATGCTCAGTGTCAACATTAGATGCCCACGAAACACAGCCAGGCTTCAGCACTTCGCTAGCTTCTTCCACTCATGAAAAAGGAAAACTACAACAAACCTACATACTGGAGCGTGCAGTCAAGTACCTAGAGGCGGAAGAAGACAATTGACATACGATCGGTATGTATTTGGCATCACAAATGCGTGAAATTGCAAAAACAAACAGAAAGGCTGCTAAAAAACTGCACATAGATCTTGTAAAAACTGCAATGGAAGCTTCTTTGGAACTAGACTACGACAATTAGTTTTGTATTATGTAAATATATGTACATATAATAATTTATTTTAATAACATGCACAGAGAAAACGATACAGGTAAAACGCAAGATTTTAAAAGAAATTGTAAAATAAAATGTTTGAAATAATTTTACTTCATACAAAATAAAAAATACAGTATTTGTATTTACGAGTTTAAAACAAAACATTTGCAAAACAAAAACGATCGTTATAATATATTTACTTTTTTACTGAGGAGAACAGACGAAATTAAAGAAATAAGGGAAAAAATGCGTGTTTTCAAAACTAAAATGAAACATTTGAGGATTTTCTCCCAACGAATTGTAGAGTGACACAATTTTCAACAAGTAAAATAAAACTATACACTTTTAAAATAAAAAAATTTTATTTATTTTCAGTCAATGAAGTATGAAAAATATTTAAAACCATGATACAATAANTATTGTATCATGTTTAAAACTAAAATGTTTTGCATAAGAATTTAAAAAGCTACCTAGCTATAATGAAAAACATTTCATATGTTTGCATCATTTGTCGAAAAAATTGTATTGATATAAATAAGTTAATTCAATCTTAAAAAAAGGTGATGAAGTATATACAAACAATACCGCCATTCTAACCGCCTAACTACATGGAAGGGACATTGGTGATATGGTGGACTTCTTCGACCGAAAAAAGTTTTGGTAAGAATAATTTACAAAAATAAATTCGTATGAGTTATTAAATTATAATTTAAAACTTTCTTGCTTTAAATTACCGGGTTTGACCAGCGTGAAGAAAAACTAGCAGACCTAGCGTTGAAGTAAGGCGGGAACATCTGTATGTATGTATGTATGTATATAGTATTTGTAAAACATCTGTCTTTTGTTTATTAAATTTTGTAATTCAATAATAATTTAATAAATGAAATACATACATAAATACATACATACAGATGTTCCTGCCTTACTTCCAAGCTGGGCCTGCTAATTTTGCTTCACGCTGGTAAAATCCTGTAATTTAAATTAAGAAAGTTTTAAATTATTATTTTATAACTAATAAGAATTTGNATGCATACATAAATACATACATACATATGTTCCTGCCTTACTTCCAAGCTGGGCCTGCTAATTTTGCTTCACGCTGGTAAAATCCTGTAATTTAAATTAAGAAAGTTTTAAATTATTATTTTATAACTAATAAGAATTTGTTTTTGTAAGTTACTCTTACCAAAGCTTTTTTCGATCAAAGAAGTCCACCAATGTCCCTTATATGTAGTTAGGGGTTAGAATGGCAGTTTTATTTGTATATACTTCATCGCATTTTCTGAACATTGAAGTAACTTTTTTATCTGAACACAGTTTTTCCGACAAGTGATGCAAACATATGAAAGTTATTCATCATAGCTTGGTAGCTTTTTAAATTCTAATGCAAAACATTTTAGTTTTAAATATTTTTCATACCCAATTGACTGAAAATAAATTAACGTTTTTGTTTTAAAAATGTCTAGTTTTATTTTGCTTGCTGAAAATTTTGTCGCACTACAACTTGTTGGGACAATATTCTAAAATGTTTCATTTTAGTTTTTAAAATACGCATTTTTGACGCTATTTCTTTAATGTCGTTTGTTTTCCTCAGTACAAAAAAAGTGAATATGTTATAACGATCGTTTTTGTTTTGCGAATGTTTCGTTTTAAAGTCGTAAGAACAAATACTGTATTTTTTATTTTGTATGAAGTAAAATTATATCAAAAAATTTAAATTTGCAGTTTCTTTTAAAAACTTGCGTTTAACCTGTATCATTTTCTCTGTGCATGAAGAAACATTGCGGCCGTTTTCACTAAAAATATATTTTAGATTCAGATTCCTCGACTCGAAATCCCAAAGTCAAAATTTTAAAAAGGTTTTTCTACATTTGCATAGCAATTAAATTGCCCCTTATTCAGTAAAAAAAAAACAACTGTTATTAGTAGCGATTTAAAGCTAGGGTCCCATGATTACCGCAAATGCACCAATCTTTCGGCAATCTCCTCGGCCTTTATTTGTGCAAATCTTTGTTAACGAACCTTTAAATCAAACGACTGGTGCGATTTGCGACAATTTCGATTGTCTCTACGTTGCGTGATGGCAGTATAAATTTATTAAAAAAAAACTTAAAAGTTCAATACAGCCCACGACAAAACGGTACAACCTCAACATTTTGACCAGTCTTGACTATTTTTCTTCTACTTATTTAATCTTCATTATTTTTGTATAAAAGTATAGCTCATTGTCTAACAAAAACTGCGTAAATCCAAATTGCAAGCTTTATACAAAAATTATAAACATTTCTTAAACTTTTGAACACAATCCCACGGTTTTTAATTTGGATTTCTAGAAAAAAAATTGTTATTTAGTTTTATAGCTCATTGAAATTTAGTACGATTAGGTAGAAGTTTGAAGTTGCTAAAAAATCCTGTTGATTTTTTATAATTTTTTTTAGCTGACGGTATTATGCACTTTCTTCTCTGTAAATTACTTTGAAAACTGCATAACAAAATTTTTTCTAGAAATCCAAATTAAAAACCATTGAATTGTGATCAAAAGTTTAAGAAATGTTTATAATTTTTGTATAAAGTTTGAAATTTGGACTTATGTGGTTTTTACTAGACAGTGAGCTATGGTTTTATAGGAAAAAATTAACATTAAACAAACAGAAGAAAAAAGTCAAGACTGATCAAAATGTTAAGGTGCTATCTTTTGTTGCGAGCTGTACATCTTTATATATAAAAATTAATTGCTGTTCGTGTGTTATCGTATCAATCAAGAACGGCTCAACGGATTTGCTTCGTTTTTATTTCGTTTTGTGTCTTTCTATCTATAGAAGGTTTGTAAGGAGAAATTGAAAAAATGGTGTTGCCAGATACCTGCAATATCAGAAAAAAAATTTATTATAAATAAGCCGCAATAATGCTATTTCACTGAGAATTTATAAAAAATTAATTCAGAAAAAGTTTGGGTAGGGTTGCCGCCATTGGAAAAAAAAAATTTATATGTATAAATGGATTGCTTTCATG